CGACACGGCCGTTTGCGCCGCCCCGTCCTTACCCGGCGGTGGGCACGGACACGGGAGGGGGGGGGGGGGGTTACCGGAGCTGAAGAAACGACCGCGGGCAGAAGCGCCGAGAAACGAACGGGAAACGTTTAATCGACGAACGCACAGAGCGACAAACAGAGACACGACCGCGTTCCAAGCCGGCTCCCGTCCAAACGGCGACTGCGCAGGACGGCTCGGTGCCGACCCGGGAGGGACGGGCCTCCGCGCCGCCTTCCCCTGAGCGCCCGGCGTCCCCGAAGCACGGCGCGGGCGGCGGCGAGGACACGGGGCGGTGGAGCGCTGCAGCTCCGCCAACACCATCGCCGGGGCCCCGCGGCCGCGGCCGCAGCCGCCATTGGCGGAGAGGCCGCGCTCGGCCATTGGTCGTGCCGCGGAACGGGGCGGGCACCGCGCGCGGGGTCCTTTCGTTCCGCGGTTGCGGCGTCTTTGCGTCATCGCCGCGCGCATCCCGGAAGGCCGCGGCCCGGCTGCCCACGCCGATGCCTGTCGCCGCGCGCCCTCTCCACCGCCCGTCAGCACAGGAGCTGCGGTTCTGGCGGCGGCAGCAGGAACTTAGCGCAGCCCTGCAGAGAGCGGTCCGGCAGCACGGGAAGAAGAAGACGGCCGTGCAGTGCGAGTGCCTCAGCGGTGTCTGCAGCAGGTTTTTACTGCAAGCCTATCCAGTACCGAGAGCAAACCAGGCATATACCGTCAAGGCACTCACTAAACTGATGTCTGCCTACGGGACACCTCAAGTCATCGAGAGCGACCAAGGGACTCATTTTATGGTGCAACGATACAGTGCTGGGCAGAAGAAAATAACATTGTGGCGTTTCCACCTGCCGTATAATCCAACAGGGGCAGGCCTCATTGAACGTTATAACGGTATTCTTAAGGCTGCCCTGAAGACAGACTCCCAGTCCCTGCAGGGGTGGACGAAAAGGCTGTATGAAACCCTGCGGGATCTGAATGAAAGACCTCGAGACGGCAGACCCAGTGCCCTGAGAATGTTGCAGACGACATGGGCCACCCCGCTTAGGATCCAAATTACGGGCACTGATCACCAGGTAAGACCCCAGATTGGTAACAAAAATAATCTTCTGCTCCCTGCCCCTGAGAGTTTAGATCCGGGTACCCATAAAATAAAATGGCCCTGGAAGGTGCAGGTAGGACCCAAATGGTGTGGCCTACTTGCACCTTGGGGGAGACTATTGGAGGTGGGAGGCTCAGCAGTCCCTCCAGTAACAGGTACATGGCCTACTGATATTGTGGTCAACACTCCGATCTTTATTGCTAAAGGGACCCCCATCGTGTCCCTGTGGCAGATCAGGACACCTCCTTTGGTGCCTGATATCGTTATGCAGCCGCAGACCAGAAGGTGTGGTACAGGCGGCCAGGATGTGCCCCAGTACAGGTGGAAGTGTTGACCCAGGATAGAAATACAGCCTGTATCTTGCCCTGGAGAGCAGACCTTCCCCTCCTGGTACCTCTGAAACATCTGTATTTCTCCCCGTGAGTCTGTGAGCCTTCAGGATCACCAGAAGGAATGAAATGCCATCAAGCGTTCCAGTGTTGCTGTCAGATCACGTACAACACCTGGTGATGGTCTGCATGGGACTGATGGAACATAGGATGGACCTGCACCGCACAACTGCATGCCCTCCCCTGTTTCCCCACTGGCTGGGTACTCCAGGTTCACAATCTTATCAGAAGGCTTACAGCAGGGGGGAGGGTGGGGAAAGGGATGATGCCAGGCCTTCCGATGTCTCTCCTAGCGCTTCCTCGGGCAGGCCATCACTTATTCGCTGGTTTGCTCTCATGCAGGATATTTTTGCGGTGTGTGTGACAAAATATACACACATACACCTACATACAGAGCATGCGTTCCTGGAAAGGTTCATCTAGAGGATAAGTGATGTAAACTATCAGAGATCTTCCCCAAGTTAATTAGAAGGACTGAGATGGTAAGCTAAAGAACACAAGGGGTAAGATGTAAGGGGTCCATAACATCGCCTGGTTATGTTAACTCAAAAGAGGTCACAAGTAGCATCGCTTTGTTTAACCTTTTGCTAACCCAAGGGAGATTTATTGTTTAGTCTAACCGTTTTGTCAGCCCAGGCGTATTCTAATGAATATGTATGGCTTGGCTAAGGAATGTATCGAGACCCCACTCTGTGGTGTGCAAGCTAGGAGGAGCGATCCCCCTGGCACCCGGCGTGTGGAGCAGCACTGAAATAAACGTATCTGCTCTTTAACCTTATGTGGGTTAGAGAGTTTGATTCTGCAAATCAGGACTCCCAAAAAGAACTATGATAGCAGAGATCATGAGATAAAAAAATATATATATTATCCAATTCTAATGCAGAAACAACATTTGATTCCCACAGAACCATGTTAATAATTACTCTCAAAGTGTGTATCTACTAAAAAGCTGCAATGTTTGAGGCCTACAAAATGATTTGCGTTCACAGACTGATCAGTACTTATCGGTTCCTTCTTAGAAGCACTGTGCTCTCTGCCAACCCAGATGTTGTGGTTTCGTGATTTGTTTGTTGTTGTCAGTGTTCCACATCAGAACATCACGTGGACCAGCGGGAGTTAACGAGTGAATGTTCTGGTTCCTTTTGCTGCCTTTTGTGGACTCTTTGAGTGTCCTGATGGGAAGGGAGGGGGCGGCATCCCCGGAGGACGTGGAGGGCAGAGAAAGTGGCGGGGAGCTGCGGTCGGGACCCGGAGGTCTGCCCCTCTCCGTCCGGCCTGGCTCAACGTCTCAGCTCGCCGCGGAGAAAGCGCGTGCTTTCATCGCACTATCGCGATTTAACTCTCACTTTTTGAGTCCTGTCTCTCTCGTTTTGTTTGATTTAGTTAGATTCAGTAAATTACCCTTCCTCAGATCGCTGCCGTCGTGCCAGCTCTCTGCCCTTCCCCCTCTCCCGGAGCGCACGCAGCCCGGGGCCGGACGGCTGGCGACAAACCATTCGTACCCTTTTTCCCTCTTCTTCCCGGGGCTGTGCCCCCCCGTCACGGGCTTCTATCTAAGAATAACCCATGACACCAAAAAACACCGGCAGTTCTAAGGTGGTTCGTTTGAGTTAGTGCATCTATCCAAATCTCAAGGGGAAAAAAAAAAAGAACAAAAAAAAAAAGGAAAAAAATGCTTTTATAATCAGAAATCGAATTGTTCCCTAGTGATGCAGACAAGAGTTGATTTTTTTGCATATAACTTTACTTCCGGAAACAGGGAATGTATCGTCTCACCTCCTGTGATTCTTCAATCCTATCAAATGTTCAGTGAAGACCTTTAGAAATGTGTCAGTTACATTTCTCCATTTCTAGTTTCCAAAAACTACAGGAACCTTAGCTGCTCAGATGCCATGTTAGGAAAAGGCAGGCGAGAAGGGATGAATCAGGTCTTTGTCTAATGACTTTTCTCTCCATGAAAATAAAGCTTTGACTGAAATTTAAGAATTTAATCTCACCTATCATCTTCAGTCTAAGGTGGCTGATAGGCCACCATTTCACCACGGAGGGTGCTGAGAAACAAGTTCAGGATTGCCGACAAATGGAATAGAATGATTTGATAAACAGCATAAAAATTGTTGCAAAAAAAAGTCAAAAGTCATGCTCTGTCTAGGAAAAAAGGAAGGAACCAAATCTCTGAATCCAGTGGGTAAATATACAGCTACTTGGTATTATTTGCAGAGAAGTAAGAATTTTAGCGCTTTTGAATTTGTCTGATTCATTTCTCCTTAGTGTTGGAATGATCAGTTTTTGGGTTACCCAGTAGATGAGATGTACTCTTAAAATGAAATTCTACAGTTTCTTAGAAGCTGAGAGAAATCATTTTAAACAGAATTTATGAAAAACTCGGAGCATACAGTATATCATTCTGATTACAGAGGGAGAGGACAAAGTGAGCCTACATAAAAAAGAAAAAAATGAGAAGGTTTGTGAGCTGTTACTTCATCGGTGCATCCAAGAGCAGCTTCCTGTTACTCTACCTGATGAAGCAGTATCTTTTCTCAGAACCAGACCCAGGTTTCATCCCAGTTCTCCCCCAATGTGATGCTGACATCATGCAACAAGGAGAAGTAGCATTTCACCCCCAGCACAAGGGAAATGTGAGGCAAAAGGGCAAATCATTTAAAAAGAATGAGTTAGAAAAGACACACCAGCTTGATTTGTTGTTGCAAGGATATTGCCATGATCAAAGTACCTACTGAGAGGTACTGAGAGAGGAGGAAGGATGGAAGGATTTGGGTGTGAGTTTTCAGGATTCTGAGCAGTTCTGTGCTCACTGCATAATCACCTCAGGCCTCGCAGGGCATTCCAGTAGCTCTTCTATTGTTCTTTATTTTATTGCATTAGCGAGGGACTCAGCATTACTTACGTGAACATATACGATCCTTAAAACCTGGCAGAAGAGCAGGTTGCTCTGAAAGTAACTTGTTAGAATACCAGCATCATGTACACGAAAATATTTCTGGACACATAGAGGAAAACATGATGCACAGAAAGATAGAGCAAAATAATGTTCACACGTGTGGTCTACATTCGTAAAAATGTATTTTTTTCTATTTGCTCGTGTTAATGAAATTTCTATGCTCTAAAAAAAATCCCTACAGCATATCTCAAAGTTAAAAAGGCTGAACTCTTCTAGATCTGATTGAGTTTCTACAGAATCCCAGCGAGCTGTGAGAAACATTTAGTACTGCATGCAAATAAATGCCTGTCTTTTTAATCAAAAATGACCCTGTCACTGATGGCTATGTTTCAGCTCTTCAACTAAAGGTTTTCAGAATTAAGTTTTGAGGTCTGCTCATTAAAGAAAAGATCCGGCTACGGGTGGTCCTTGTACTTGAGGAAATCAGCATAAGGGAATTTGTTTAGAAAAAAAAAGTAACAAAAAAATCATAGAACCATAAAATCCTTAGAGAGAGATGATTTTGTGCTTCTAATGCATTTGGAGTTTTCTTGATCAGCAGCTTCATCAGATCCATTTGTCCTGCCTCACCTAGAACAGAAACACATGGCGCTGGCATGGGTCTGCAGAGTTCCCCTGCTGGTTGTTTTATCTCTGCTCTGTTTTTTGTTGCAGCCCTCATGCCTTTGGCCAGTGACATGGAGAGCTCAGTCTGATGCTTGGCAGCTGAGACCACACTGATTCTCAGGACAACCAGGAAGACACCAACAGCATGATGGAGCCTGCAGTTCTGTGCTGTCTGTTCCGCTGAGCTGCAGCACTCCTGTGACAGCTCTGTCCCTCGGAGGAGCACAGCAAACCCAGTGCCCTGCTGCCCTTCTCCCTGGGACATTCCTGCCCGTGCTCAGCAGGCAGCGCCATTCCTGGCCTCTGCTGCTGGCTGCAGGACAGTGCATCCCTCTGCACTCCTGAGCACATGGAGGGCACTCTAGGTGAACAGCCTCTGCTGGAGATGGCAAACAGCATTGGCAAGGCCACAAGGCTCCTACAGAACCAAGGTCTTTGTCCACTTGGCTATGGTAGTAGTGTCTACTACCGAGGCTCGTGAGCGGACATGCTGTCATGACACTGGGGCCTTGCAACCCCATAGGGTGACCAGGAGGTGTCATATCATTCTCCTTCACAGAACATTACAGACCATACTTCCCACTGACCATGGAGGAGCTCTGGACCTTATGTGAGGACCTCCCTTCCCAAGATCTGGAGCTATGGCTAAGCCATTCTGTCTCATCACATCAGCCGAGGGCTCTTCTCAACATTAAAGTCATTGCATGGGGCCTTTGCCTACTTGTAATCATGATCTCTAATTACCTGCTCAAAAAAGACCTTCAGGAGCTTTTGTCAGTAATGGCCCCCACGGGAGCCAGTTGATACTCAAAGACACTTCAGCATTTCCTTCATTGTGTGGTTACATCAGCCTCCTCTCAGTATCTGAAGTTAACGGACTCTGCAAACATGCAGTGGGGCTCATTACAGTGCAGAAAGACCTAACAAGCATTTCCTTCAAGTTATCCAGACTTGTCCAGTTAATTGTTATGGTTTCAAGGTTGTAGATGAAGAGAAAACTTCCTAGGATAATTAAAAAAAAAAAAAAGAGTTAATCACATTTAAGGTTTTTTTAATTACTTTTTTTGTTAATCTAAGAAGTGATTGAAGCTTTCTTCATTTTATAGTTTTCCCAGGCTGTCTCCTAAGGAGGTCTGGACAAGTAACTGCATGGACAACCTTGCTCTCCACTTCCCTTCTCCACCACCTCATTCATGAGTCACCTCAGACTTGCATCATTTTTCCTTACAGCAGATATCTACGCTGAATTCTACAGATTCTTCCAGTTCCTTTGTGGAAATGTACACTTTCTTTGTCTTGCATATCTCCCTATGGACTCAGAATTGTGTGCACATAGGCTCTGGGCACTGGTCTGTGCCAGCTACATTCTATCAAACTTTACTACAAGACTGAGTTTCACAGGAAGATCAATTTAGAAAGCAAATATTTTCAGTGGATCAGAAAGTTCACCTGAGGTGAAATTGATAAAAAAATTAAGAATTATAGCAACTGTCTTTTCACAACCTGCTGTGCTCAGTGGGATGCTTCTTCCTCTTGTTCTCAGAAAACTCTTGTCGGAAGCAATCTGCCGTCCTCTTCCCACTAACAAATTACTCAATGGAGTATATATGTGGGAGAACTCCATTCATACCCCATGTCTTCTAGTTTAGACAAGAAGCTTCTCACTGAGATGTCCTTTCTCATTGACTTTTTCTGAAGCTTTTTTATTTCCCGTTGAGATGTATTTATTATAGCAAGGAGCCCAGGCCTCCCTATTCCCAAGTGCCTCTACACTCAGTATCTGATGAAGTCCAACAAATACCAGGTATTCTGGAGAAGAACTATTTCAAAAAGAGAGGTGAATAAACCTTTGCTATTTTATACCCAGGTAAAATGCCATTCAGGAAACTATTTCTAACCATCCTTTGGGCATTTGCCAGTAGAAGCAAAGCATGTCACTAGTGATTTTGAAACATGAGAACAACACAGCTCTCTTCACACACCTTTGCAAGGGGCGTTAAAAATGACAGCTGGCCTGCATGCAACTGAGTAAAACAGTCCAGTTTGACAATGTCTAAGTGAGCATTGGAAAGACTAACTGAAAATCCAGACAAGACAACCAACCCGGCTGCTTACAAGTTCTCATGTCACCTTCCTTTCAGTACCACGTGTGCTGTGCTGAGCCAGCAGTGCAGTAGGTCCTGGTGACACCTTTCCTGAGCAGTGTCTCTTTCTGCCATCTGGACTTGTGCATTTCATGGCCCTGCAAGGAGGCCAGGTCCTTTTGGGACTCTGGAGGACTTCAGCCGGAGTTCCTTGCACAACTCGCTGTATTGGATGGTGGCTCTAAAAGCAGCTCAGCTGAGTGTGCTGTGCTCTTACAGAGTAATTCGCACCTTGCATAGCTTGATTCGTGAATCATAAGGCTGTCACTTTAGAACAGAATTATGGTTGCAATCAAGGCTTTCCAGTACTTACAGCAAGTATCAAAGTGAAGTTGTTGCAGAGTCTGCCCTGCTCCTATTTTCCTCAGCATGGAGGCTTATGTTAAATTCTACAATGTGGTGGATTACCTTCTGTATGTGCTTTTTTTTCTTTTGGAACAAGGAAGCCATTGTTTTCTCGATTGATACTGAGATGTAAATATTTTTAAATGCATTGTTCTAAGAGCAAGAAAACATTTTATTGATAACACTTCATGCTGAGTCACCTACTGTGTGTTTTTTTTTTTTTTTTAGTTCTTTCTGTTCAGATAAACCCAAAATGCATTAGCAGTAATTTAATATTATAGATTTCTAAGTGGGTCAAAAAGATTCTTCAAGTAAATTTCCAGTCCTCTTTCTCCCTTTCCCTTTATCATTTGTTCTTTTTAGACTAGAAGAGAATAAAGAGAGCTTTTAGGAGTTTTATTATTATTACTACTTTTTAATAGCAAATAAGTCCCCTTAATGCTCTAACATTACCAGGTGATAAAATTGTGAATTTGCCTTTAGGTGCTAAGTGTTGATACAGCTTTGTATAATGGTTGGAGTTTAAAAAGTGAGAAAACATATCAACTACTCCTCAAACCAAAAATAGGTTAAACTCAGGTAATCTTTCTTTTCATTCTTTTTCTGGTGCCCTTTGCTTATTGCACTAGTTCTGCTACTGGTAGCTGCATTGCCCTCCTGTGTAACGTTTGCTGTCTTGTGTGTCAGCTGGTATGGAACGCTGAGGTGTGCTGACTGCAGGAATAGTATGGGAGGTGGATCTTTTCTTTATGCTTGCTTTTTTTTCTTCTAGTCCCTGCTTCTGCAGGTTGTGATTCATGTATGGTTGGTAGATGGCCAGGATTCATTACAGGAGAAAATGACGCACAAAACCCTCAAATGCTTTTAATACCTTGTGACATCAGCGAAAATAAAGGAATTTCAACATTCAGCTGCAGAAGGGTTGTGCTTGTGAGTGTCTTAGCCCTGGAATTTCACGTGGCAGCCCGTTGTAGTCGGCTTCAGTATCAGAACCTTGGAATGCTCTCACTTTTTTTCACAAGAACTCTATCTGAAGTTGTGGCTTCTTATGAAAAACTGAGAGTTTAATAGAATATTGTGAATGAGTAAAGTGGGATTAAAATCTCGCTGAGATGCATTTCTAGGGGATTTCCCTTTTTGTTTTACTAATACTTGTGATATAGCATAACTGTCTTCACAGGAAATAAAACAAATGAAGCTTGGAGGCTTGGAGTTATTCTTATGAGCTGTTCTACTAATTCACCACTGGGGATTATAGTTCAGAAAAGAAGAGAGTGATCAGTAGTGGGATCACAGTACTGCATTTCCGACTGGTGTTGTAGCAGTAGATGCGCTGTTATGTCCAATATTGCTATCACCTGGCTCACCAGAACCATGACATGGGAATACTGAAGGTCTAGGGAGTAGCATAGATCAAGTTGAGCCAAAAGGTGAAGAGGGAGAAGCACAGAAAACAACTACTGTTCCACTTATGCACTGCTATGAAAAGACAGGTATTTTTATAAAGCACAAAGTAATGCCATAGCCTGTGTAACAGCTTGTAAGTCATGAGTCAGAGAGCAAGAATTAGGAAAATTTAAAAAATAAAAAATAAGATTTTTCTTTTCTTTGTAATTGAAATATTTCAAACTGTTTTCAAAATCATTCTCTTGATGCCAGCCCCTTGAGCATTAAATAAACTGAGTATGATAATAAAATAAAAAACATTAACATTATAATGACACTACTTTTCTGCTGATGCCCTTTTGAGTCACTTGAGGCAAATCTGAGAAAGATTTCTGCTGTGTTCCATGGAGGCAAAATGAACCAGCTGCATAGGTCTCTTCATTCTTACAGAAGCTAGTTCACAACATTGCCCTGGTAAGAGCATGGGAAAGCATGCAGCTGCCTGCTTTGTGTCCCAAGTGGGATTGCATCTATGCTGATGTGTCCAGGAAATCAAAGATCTCCACTTGCAAGGAAAAGGTCCTCCTCCTTTGTGCTTCTCTCCCCATATTGGCTCCTGGGAGCTGTGCCTGAGTAAAGGATGCAGAATTTTGCCTGAAGTGAAGATCATGCATGAACAGTTAGGAGCACTGCGTTGTATCACGGTCTGCTGACATAAGGCTTCACTTGAACATGTACTGAAATGCACTTGCTAGGGCTACTTTGTATTTTTTTGTACTGGACAGGACCTGTTACCAATCTGGAATTTTGCTTGGGCAGGCTTTGAAGAGTTGTTGAGTTTGCCAGGAGTGTCCTTGTATGTGATAGCTAAATTCTTCATAGCATAGCATGAGATTTTATTATTATTTTTTAATAACAGCTATACTTGTAATACTTCTGCTTTACAGCCACACTACACATTTAGAACAGATCCAAGATCTTCTGCAACCATTCGGCTGTGTTTCTACCTGTTAACAATTCTGGCTTTCTGGAAGATCCTCAAATAACAAGTTATAAAACTTTCTTTAAATAAGAATTTCAAATATTTTCTCTCTCTCTCTTTTTTTTTTTTTTTTTTTTTTTTTTTTTAAAAAAACACGTGTGTCATTTAGCTCAATTAGAAACTGAAATGAATGGTAAGCATTTAACCCATACGAGATGCAAAAGAATGTTCATATGCATAAACTTGCCTGAACAGTATATACAAAGACAAGGGCTACCTACTTGTGTTTAGCAGGCAACTGGATTGTATAATACACACATAATTTGCATTTGCCCTTTTAAGGTAAAGATATTGATGTAAAAACTTGATTCAAAGTCCCTCTATGAAAAAATTAAGAGTTAACCCTATGCATAGATAAATAATGAGCAAAACTTATCCAGGGGACTGTTGTTCCAGGACCTAGAGTTCATTATGTGAAAGAATTCAGTGCTTTGCTTTTATTTTTTTTTTTAAGTAGTCAGAATTCATTAGTATTTATAATGTGCAGCCATTGAAGGTAGCCCTGTCAATGTTGGTTCTACTACAAATAATAGCCTTCACAGACATTATATAGGTTTGGAGTGGCATCTTAAAATGATGTGTGTGTGTGTGCTTGTGTGTATGATGGAAGGAAGCCACCTGTGAGGTTCTTCCAACCCTTCACAGTGTTATGGACACAGTGAAGAAGCAGTGACTGGAAAATCATCTGATAACACCGAGGGCTCCCAGTCTCCACACTACACAGACCCTTATCTTCTTTCTGAAAGAACACACTGTCATTGCAAACACTATGTATCTTGTTCTCACCCAACAGAACTTCTTACAGCTTTGAAGGATTTGAAACATATCTGCAAAGGAGTGAATTAGTCTTGTTTTCATGTAAGCTGAAAGGAGACATGGAGATGAAAGATACAGCTCACCATCAAAAAAGTCTGCTGACAATCATTCTTGGGAAAAAATTATTTACATAGCTTTACATTTACAATACTGCACTTCTTTTTTCCTTTGCAAATACAATAATCATATGTGAAGCTGATTCCAATATCTGTTGTTTTCACTGCTGTCATGTTGCTTGTAAAACCTGGGTTATTCTAATGAGCAAAACATTTGACTTGAATTTGGGTAATGCTTATGACCATGCAAAAAACTATCAGCAGCAATAGTGTCAGGTGCAGAACTAATGCTACAAGTGGATAATATTGCACTACTGGAAACCAATAGCTCCTCACACAGTGGAAGACTGAGGGTTCTATTCAGCAGTATTCAGGGTCCTATGGTTGTGGCCACAGAGGTTCCAGAGCTCTCGATGAGCCTAATCCTGATTCAGGAACCAACCTGATATGCTGTGTATGCATTTCTCTGCACAGCCTGGGGGCGCTGGATGCCCTCTCCCACTTGATTCCTGGGAAGGGAAAAAAAAATTAGTCTCTCTTTAGCACAGTGGCATGAGAAGCAATTCACAGCAATGAAATCTAAAGAAGTTAGCAAGGCATGTATGAAAAGAACAGGATGCCTGCAAAAAAGGGAAGAGCTGTCAAAACCTGATTGTGGGCTCTGGCTGCAATAAACCTTATCAAAGAGGGAAGACAAGTTTGATTTAAGGATGTAGCCAACTTCTGCTAAGAGACACTTTTCATTTTCTAGGACATACCAACTGTTACAGTGCTCCTCATGTGTTCCCTTGGTCTGTTCCTATCAGGGTTTGGCTACAGCTAAGAGCTCAGTGATGTTTTCCTAAACTCAACTCCCAAATGCCCAGGTGGGTATTTCAGTTGTTGGCACTTTGGCCAGGAGCTAACTTTTCAATGAGGGCACAAAAACCTGGACTCCAGACGTAGCTTTATCTTCCTTCACAGCCATGTCTGCTGGGATCACCATTCTCTCACAAGCACAGTGCTGCCCTGCTGCAATGGGCGGGGAGTGATCGAAGGTCTCCCTGTTGAAAATGTGCTTCTGTTGTCCCCAGGAACCAGAAATTGATTTTGGAGACAGACAAGGCTGGGGTATTTTTGCCATTTTGTGGCATCTTCCTGTTGTGTGACATTTGACTTATGGAACAACCTATTGCTGGTGCTTGCAACCAATTCCTTAGTTGCATTCTAGTAACAAGTCTACACTCCAGAAAGTGTCTGTCAGCTGCCTGACTCTGCATAGCAGGTGCTTATTAGGCATTCACACGGCTTAACGTGATATTGCTTTCTTTTCTTTCAGCAGACAGTTGTGACTGTCCATAAATACAGGAGCTTCTCCTGGCTGGGATTATTGCCCAACTTTAACAGTGAGAGTAACAATAAAAATGAACCATGGGAACTCTTAGGAAGCAATTTAGTTAGAACACTGAAGTTTTGTGTCTCATGAATCAAGATTAGCATTTCCTGTGTTGGGAAGGGAGAGGATTAAACAGAGGGATTAAAAGGACATCTTTACCCCGCTGGACTCTGTGGAATAGCTCTGAGGATATGGCTGAGAAAGAGTTCAGAGGAATGCCAAATTCCTGCTGAATAGGTTAGAAGGGTGAGGAAGCCCCTTCGGCAGCCGTCCAAGCACAGAAGACCTGCATAACATTTCTGCTGAATAGGCCCTGAAGACAAGAAACAAAACAAAAACCATAGGAACCTTGAAATTTTTTTTCTAATTGCGTGGCTTCTTATTGATGCCTCAAATCTCCAGAGAAACTTAAACCTTTTTTTTTTTTTTTTTTTTTTTTTTTTTCCAGGATAGTTAGACATTCCTTGAGATTTGCTAGATGATGTAGTCTTACAATAGTAAAGTAATGGAAGAGGTGAGATTAGGTTTTTAAACAGTAAAACAATAGGTATTGGTAAACCTTAGGAAGCCCACTTCTTTACATCAATTATAATTGAAAGTTACCCAATCCTATGTCTGAAAAACAGAACAAAAACAACCAAAAAAACCCCAACCCAAACAAACAAAATAAAATCTGAAGGCTTTATCCACTGTACCATGTATGTGGCTTTTGTGTATTTATCAAATACAGTAATTACTTTCTGTTCCCATGAATTGAAAGGATTTAGTGTATGCTTGTGGATCTTGTTTTTTTTTTTTTTTTTTGTAAAATTTCATCCTATTTCTAATGCCACATACTAAGATTTTACCAGTTATAGCAATGGGAAAGCAAGAAAAAATTCTTACCTCTGCAAGAGGATGCCAGTGGGCAATGGGCTTCCGAGGATGTGAGAGCATTTCACTCCAGTTGTCACAACCCAGACTTTCTGCATCGTTGCCTACTTGACGTACTGCAGTGACATTGTTGTGACCCACACTGTGAAAATTCCATAATATGCTTTTCATAAAGCATTAGCTTTCAAATTGTACCATTTGCATATTTCATAGAGGCAATAATCATGATTTTTTAGATATATATAATAAAGTATAATATAATAAAGTACAAATTACAAGGGTTTGCTCTTTGAATTTTCCACAAATCAAAACAATTTAGTATATTATCCGCGGTAGCAAACACTGTGTTTCTAGATGCATTTATTGTAATGTTGTATGAGAAATGTAAAATGTTATTTGTTTTCTGTAACTAGTTACAAGTAAACTGAGCCTAATTTTATAAACTGAGGCATGTGTCCAAGGGGTTAGTGCAGCTGCTCATAAGCAGAAAATCGGTGTGTGAGCTGATTGTATGCTCAGTTATTTCTGTTCTGGTAAACTCGTGCAGCTTAGTTATGGTTGTTATGGATGCAAATCTGCATTTTAAAATTTAGAAAGGAAATTCTGCCTGACAATGAGACATTTTAGCCTTCCACCGGACTCAATGTGAGAAAATATTTGATTTCCCTTACATTGCGAGAAAAAGGATAACTTCATTCCTGGATGCAAAACTACAAACTACTGTACTAGATTTTGAGATGATGTCATTTTGCAGCTACAGGTATCTCACTGGTCATAATCCATCACAGCTATCAACAAGTTAATTTGGTCAGCATTTTCTGGAGGGACGTCAAAGGCTGCGGCTTCATTGTAAACAGGATTAAGGGCATTCTTCTTGGTGGAAGTTTTTCTTTTCTTTAGTCGCCTTCCTTCACACATTAGAGAAACCTTCATGTAGGGATCTGTGTGAATCATAAGAACAATGTTGGTTTTCTTTTGTTGTTTTTATGAAAACATAGATGGAAAGTAAAGGCAGTGTTCTTGTGTGCAATTGGCAGTCACTTGCATCTGGAATTCAAGCTTCTTTATTACCATGGAATGACTGGGAGGCAGTGGGCATTGGAAAGCTTTACCTGTTTGAAATCCTATAATGAACAATTCCACTTCAATAAGTTTTTCTTTGTGTACTGACTTCTGAAAGAGTATTAAATTATCCACTGAACTGTGGCTGTTTTATACATCAGCCTGTGTATCAGTGTATTTACAGCAATGTAGTTACTTTTACAAATATATCGGTCAGACAGAAGATGACAGCATTGTACACAGTATTGATGTCTGGTTAAATATAATTCCAAGTGTAAGAAATTGCAGTTTATGTTTCTCAAGAGAATTATAATTATGGATGCAGTGAAAAAGAAAGGCAAGGCAAGTTAACTCATTGTAGATCCTTTTTTGGAGTTCTAGTATGAAAAATGAATCTATGAGCTCTTATTTAATTTAGTTTTTCTTGCTTTCATTAGCCAATTTTGAAACTGTTGTTGAAAGGAGTTTGGGATGACTGTTCTGTCCATATGCCAACAGCAGCAGAATTGCTTTGGTGTCTCTTGAAGACTGTCGAGGGTCAGTTTGCCTCTGTGCCATAACAATCTACTGTATGATCCAGTCTCTAATATGAAACCAACTTCACCAACTCTTGTTTTGAATCATGGTTGCTTTAGAAGTAATAGTGTTGTTCTCTTATAGAGAGGAGATTATTTTAAACTGTTGGTTAAACCAGAATGAACACTATTTATTTCTCAGAAATTCCTAAGGTGACTTAAAAGCTTGCAGTGTAAAGTCGCTTCTTTTCAAATAACATTCTGGTAATTGACAGTACTGGAGTTCTGTGACTTGGGAGGGAAATGGGACACTAATCCACGCTGAGCATTAAATAAATTCTTACCTGATGCTCCTGTGATATCCACTGCCTTTAAATTTCTTGCTTTTATTATTGCAATACTTAGTCTGCCAGCTGTTGGAAGGTAGCAGAGTGAAAACATCAGGTCACTGTATAACCAAGATGTTATAACCACAATATAATTGTGTATAATCAATAGATATCAAGATGTTATAATCACAATATAATCAAGAGAGTAAGGCAAAGCAGACAACGATCACAAAAGAGAATAAGTAGAAGAGCTTACCCTTTGGTTGAGCTCACCAGAAGACACGAAGAGAGGTGATCTCCAGAAGAGATCCTTCCCCTCTGGTAGCCAGCTCTTAAATAGGTCTAGGAGGGGTGGAGCCTGAATTGCCTTCACCTGTGCTCCTCTGGCTGACTCATGGCTCACCTCAGGTGATTAATCAGAGGTTCAGGCCGTGACTCAGCATTTCCCATACAGGTCACCAAGATCCATATTATCCTGTTCCAAGGAAACAGAAAAAATATGAAGCAATAATAACAGTTTTCCCTAGACATAATCCGTAGCAGATAAAGGTAAATTGTACCTTTGAGAATCTACATTTCTGTAAGAAGAAGCTGAATTCTCATTCTCAAATGCAGCTGGAAAAACAAAAGCCCACATGCACACAAGATTGAGGTCATTACATTTGTTGCTAGACCTTCAAAGCTGTGAAGTGTAAATGTAGCTACAGTTTTCTTTACTCGTACTTGGAGCTGAGACACACTGATGTGATGAAGTGCACCACGAGGTACTGGAACATCTTTGCTCTATGTTTTGTAGTGATTTGCATGTAATGTTGACAAGCTGCAGCAGATCTCTGTGCCTTCTCTTCTGCAGAATCACAGAATGGCCAGGGTTGGAAGGGACCTCAAGGATCATGAAACTCCAACCCCCCTGCCACATGCAGGGCCACCAACCTCCACATTCAATACCAGACCAGGCTGCCCAGGGCCCCATCCAGCCTGGCCTTGAACACCTCCAGGGATGGGGCATCTACTAATCTCTAAATCTTCCCTCCTTCAACTTAATAGCATTTCCCCTTATCCTGCAGTTATCTATCCTTTCAAAGAGTTGATTCCCCTCCTGTTTGTAGGCTCCCTTTAGGCACTGAAAGGCTGCAATGAGGTCACCCCACAGCCTTCTTTCCTCCAGACTAAACAAGCCCAGCTCCCTCATTCTGTCTTCACAGGGAGCTGTTCCAGTCCCCAGATTATCTTCATGGCTCTCCTCTGGACCCTCTCCAACAGCTCTCTGTCTTTTTTGTACTGGGGGCTCCAGACCTGGACACAGTGCTGCAGATGGGGCCTCACAAGAGCAGAGTAGAGGGGGACAATCACCTCCCTGTCCCTGCTGGCCACCTCTCTTTTGATGGAGCCCAGGATCTCATTTGCTTCCTGAGCTGCAAGAGCACACTGCTGGCTCGTGTTTTCAGATCATCAGGATCCCCAGGTCCTTCTCTGAAGGGTTTCTCTCCAGGAGCTCCTTCCAGTCTGTAAGGATGCCTGAGATTCCTCTGGCCAAAGTGCCAAGCTCTGCACTTTGCTGTGTTGAACCTCATCAGGTTCACCCAGGCCCACCTTTCCAGCCTATCGAGGTCCCTCTGCATGGCATCCCTGCCTTCTACCGTGTCAACCGCACCACTCAGCTTGGTGTCATCAGCAAATTGCTGAGGGTGCACTCAATTCTGTCATCGCTGTCATTGATGAAGATGTAAAAGAGCACCGGTCCCAAGACAGAGCCCTGGGGGACGCTGCTCATTGCCAGCCTCCACCTGGACACAGAGCCATTGATCACCACCCTGTCTGCAGCCTTCCAACCAATTCCTTATCCATCGGGTGGTCCACCCATCAAATCCACATCCCTCCAATTTGGAGATAAGGATGTGGTGGGGGACCGTGTCAAAGTCCTTGCTCAAGTCCAGGTAATGACATTGATCGCCTTTCCCTTGTCCACTGATGCCGCCACTTCATCACAGCAGGCCACCAGATTGGTCAAGCATGACCTTACCGTGGTGAAGCCGTGCTGGCTGTCTCGGGTCACACTCTCATTCCTCATTTTTGGGTCAATAACAAAAATATGTTTAGGACATTATAAATGGCAGAAAATTCCTGAAATCATTACTACCCAAAGGTAGCAGAAAGCTACTGCATACCTGGGGTCACCATCATATTCTGTTCAGTACCATAATGGCACAGGGTTGGTAATCAGAAATAACACTGTGCTACTACAAGTGCTTTTCCTGCTATTGGTCAACAGTCCACAGTAAGCAAGTGCTTTTCTAAAACTCTCATGAGACTTCATGTGTTTCACCTGGAACTCACTGCCCCTTGACCTGTTGCTGAGCATAATTGGGAGGAGCCTGGCTCCCCCTCAGGTCCTCCCATCAGATGTTTATATACGTTGACATACTTCCCCTTGGAGCCTTCTCTTCTCCAGGCTGAGCAGCAACTGCTCTCTTAGCCTCCCTTCTCATAAAGGATGCCCCAGTCCAATTCAAAGGCCTTTGCAGGACTTGCCCCACTAAATTCACGTCCTTTTCATATTGCAGTGCCCAGTTCTGTACTGGTCACAGTTCAGCAGAATTTGCTTTACCAGCGCTGAGCAGAGAAGAACAAACACCTCCCTTCATCTGCTCCCCCAGGAGGCTGTTATTCTTCTTTGCAGAAGCAGCACATCGCTATTTCATGGTCAGCTTGTTGCCCGTGTGGATGCCAAGGTCCTTAAGGTTCTTAAGGTCCTTCTCTGCCAAGGCGCAGGGCCAGTCAGCCACCATCCCCTCCCATGCTGATGCAGGGGTTATTTCACGCAGTGTGCACAGGGTCTCATGCAGAGACTGGCAGATTGCTCGGCAGTTCGCGCTGGCAGGAGGAGCTGGGAGGAGGAGCACCCCACAGTATAGAGGGTAAGTTCAATAGGTGATTATCTCCTCCTAAATACATGGCCCTCATCCTCTAATTACAGGATTAGCGCCCTCTGAGAATAGAGACCTTAGCCGTCCTAACCACCCGACAGAGAGCTATGCAATGAAACAGGTTAAAAAGTCACAGGGACTAAAAGGACAGAGCAGAGGAACTATATTCTGCCCTCAAAGAGACAGCTTCTACCGCAGAAGAAAACACAAGATCCATGCAGGCAGTATCCATCCCATCACTGACAGGCTGACGGTAAGAACTCAAAGGAAAGGAATGGATGGAGGCAAGTTGATGCTGAGGGCTGCAAGCAAAACCCCTTCTTGCCTACTCCACCCACCCAGTGCTTCTGTAGACACAAGGATCTGGGATAGATACTGAAATAGCTGAGCTATTACAGCATGCAGACCAACATGAATGATTGTGGGTGACATTCGTTTTGGTGTTTGCTAATGCTTGATCTGGAGATCAAGCATGCAGAGAGAAGCTTAAGACAGCCAGTGCCCATTTTTAGTTGAATTTGGCAAGGGACTTGAAGGGTGAACAGAAGACCTTCACACATACATAAGAGCAAAGGAAAGGGTAGGAAAATGTCTCACCGAAGACAGGACAGGAGTCTTGTTAACAAGTTAAACAGAAAAGCCTGAAATACACACTCCCTCAACTCAGTCTTCTCTGCTAAGACAGAACTTTGGGTATCCAAGGGCCCTGAGACCAGAGGAAAGCCCAGAGCAAGGAAGATTTCCTCTTGCTAGGGATCATCAGGTTAAACAAACAGGACACCTATAAATCCATGGGCTCTGGTGAGCTGCACCCATGTGCGCTGAGGGAGCTGGAAGACATTGCTGTTAAGCCACTCTCAATGTTCTTTGCAATGTCATAGAGAGTGGGAAAGTTCCCCAAAGACTGGAAGCATGCAAATGTCAGTCACATCTTTAAGACCTGCAAAAGCAAGTGTCTGAAGGGCCAGTCACCATTCCTTAGGCATTCTCCTAGTCAGCTGACACAACATAAATTAGATAAGTGGCAGGTGAGATTGATTGAAAATGACCAAATATCAAGGCTCAGAGTGTGATGACTGATATCACAAGGTCCAGATGGACATTCTTGCTTTGCTTCCCAGGGGCTGATGCTAGGTGTTATATTCTCTAACCTCTTCGCTAAAACTCTAGACAAAGGGGTGCATTGGAGGTCTCCAGCACCACGGTCTGCTCTAAGCAACAATAAGGTGATAATAGGGTCACAGTGATCAGTAATTTCTCTAGACCCAGTGCTGGTCTGCATTCTTGGTGATTTATTCCCCTTAAGAAAGTAAGAATTTTCCTTTTCTATCTTTTCAATTTCATTTGCTCACTGCCCTTTGTTCTTTCCCCACTTCCCTGCACTCAGATCAGGTCAGCCACATCTACTCTGACCAAACACAATTGTATGGGGTTTGACTGGGATGGAGTTAACATTGTTCATAGCAGCCTATTAATTAGCACAGCAGCTCAGACAAGAAGGTAACATTCATTCTGTGCACACTGAGCTGAGGCAAGAGGAATCCAGCTCCTGTGTCTGTGAGGTACACAGCAGGGGCAGCTGAATCCCTCTCCAGCTCCAAACTACTGATGAGAGCAGAGATGCCCACAATGAATCAGGCAGATCCCTGCGCTGCACAGGGAAGAGATTGCTGCCTGACATTGCCCCGGCGTGCTGCCTGACAATGGGCAAGGGATTCCAGAGGGGAACACGGCACCTCCTGCATACCACCAGCACACCCTGGGAGGGCAATTCCTGCAGCGGGAGTCTGTGCAGTGCTAGAGAGAGTCGGTAACGATTCCTTCAGCTTGCTTCAAAGTGAGCTCTCCAGGAGGGGCCCTGCTGCTTTTCAGGAGCTGTGAGCCCTGGAGCCTCAGGGACATCTCCAGGGAGGTTGGTTTGGGGCATAGAAAGTGATGCCTCGGGCTGTACCTCTGCTGCTGAGCTGGGCTGTGCTTTCTGAGAAGCAGGGAGCTGCTGGCAAACAGCAGTGCTGCAGACAGACAGCTATGTCCAAGAGCAGCTCTTCTGCACCAAGAGCTGGGGACTGGCCTGCAGCTGGCACAGGGAGAGCAGGGAAGGAAAGAGGTGTTAAAGGCTGTGTGGAAGAACTCCTCAGTGCTCTTCACACAGTAAGTTTGGCTGAAGGCAAGGCAGATGCAATACGTTGAGAGATCACCTGAAGTTAGCATATCCCACTGCTTATAGGATCTTCTGGGAGTGTTCCCATCATTTTTCCATCACAAAGGAGGAGATCCTGCTCCAAGTCAGTGATTCCCTGCTCCAGGCAGTGCAGGGTGGGATCTGTGAGCACAGGTAGGCAGGAAATGTGGGAACAGAGAAGCAGCTC